ATCTCCCAAGTGGCGACTCTGAAATAATTAAACCAATCCCGTTTCGATTGTCCTTTAATTGAATAAAACTCCCTTGTACCCTCGCGGGTGCGTAAAAAGGAGGTGTGACAATATGTTCGTCGCTTGTTGATCCAAAAACTCTTTCCGAAATATCAACAATGAAACGACAGCCCTTGAAGAGTGAATGAGTTTTTAGTAACTCTATACATATGTGAAGATCTAAATCATTGGATACAAGCATTCCCTTGCTTGTTCCAAGGTTGATATCAAACCATATCACTGCTTCAAACTTGTGTATATCCAATTCAATAACTTCAAAGATCTGTTTAATAAAATCTTCAAATCGAATTGCCTCAGGTACTAGAACAAGCTTTGTTTGATGATCAAGATATGTATAATCTTTAGTCCATCTGCCATTAAAAGCAACTATAATGCATATTGTTTCCATTCTGCAAGTCAAGAGAATAGGAAACTCAGGACATATTTTATAATGCAATCCTTGTATAATTAAGAACAGGCACTGTAAGTTCAAGACCAAGTTACGGACCAAGTGCCCTTAACATTTGAACTTGAAATTCAAAGTTATGGACTGCATGTTCTTAACTTTTGAACCTGTAATTCAAACTTAAGGACTGTCTGTCCTTAACTTTTGAACCTGCAAGTCAAACTTAAGGACTCTTGTCCTTAACTTTTGAACTTGAAACCCAAAGTTAAGGACTACATGTCCTTAACTTTTTAACTTATAACTGTAAGTTAAGGACCAACTCTCCTTAAATATTGAAAGTTCAGGACCAAGTGTCCTAAACTTTTCAACTTGAAACTCTAACTTGAGGACCTAGTGTCCTTAACTTTTTCAAAATAATTTGCAAAACTATGACAGTATGTCCTTAATATACAGAAGAACAACAACAAAGTTAAGGACATTGTGTCCCTTACTTTTTCAAGTCAATTTGCAAAATTAGGACACTATGTCCGTAATATTATGTGCTCAATTTTTATAGAATTATGACAGGACGCGATGTCCTTAACTTTATCAATCCAGAAATTCAAAAAAAAAAATCAAATTTCTACTTACTGTATAAAAATCAATAGAAATCGGAAAAAGTATAACTATGTCGAAATAAAAATTAATAGAAACACACAAAAGTATAACTTACTGTAAATCTATGTCGATTTTTGGATGAGAATGTTGAATTCTATAGTTTGAAATCGGAAGAGAATCTTTTGCAATTTTGACGATCGCGTAGAAATCTTCTATAGTTTAGCGTTGCTGCTGCTGATCGCGTAGGTATAAGTTATAGCAGAAGGGTAATTTCGTCCAGTCAGGTATAAGTTTATTAAACTAGTGACTAAAGACTAAAGACATCTAAAACACTGGCTTTAAAATAAAGACAGGTGTTGTTAGTGGCTATTTGTGCATATCGCCCTTATAATAATGCAATATTATCCAAAAAAATAAAAAATAGAGACCCTTTAAGATATTACTCCATTTAAAAGGTATTGTTGATATACAACTTTGAATAGAGAGCTGGGTTGCTGCTGAAATGTGATTGGTCTTTGCGGAGATGAAATTTAAGGATAAGAATGGCTTAGATTATCTTTGAAAACAATTTAAAAAACCACGGGGATTATTAAATTACATATATATATGCTTTTGTTGACCAAAAAAATTACATATATTTGTTCTTGTTGACCAGATAAACAAATTAAAATTTTCCTCCATTTAGGAATAACCTTCCTCCGACCCCTCTCCCCCAAAAGAAAATGAAGAAAAAAAGGAATGTATATAGTCTATAGAAAAGATCAGTTGAAACTAGGTGGAACAAGGAGATACAAAAGAGTTTAACCTTTGCACAGATATTTGATAAGTTAAACTTTTTCACAATATCAAGTCACTTCAAAGTTATTTACATATAAATTTTTTAACAAATATGAGTGTGAGCTTGTCTGGCCAAGCTTTTAAAATCAGCTTAAATGTGAAAAGTATTTTTTGTAAAAATATTTTCGGTGAAAAGCAGTTTATATTTGACTAATTAGTTTGAAAATCACTTTTGACCAGCAATTAGTGTTTGACAAAGCTTTTAAAAAGTGTTTTTAAGTGTTATTTTCTCAAACACGTTTTTTTTAAAAATACTTTTGGTAAGAAGCTATGCTTTTCAAAAATTATTTCTGATTCTACTCAAAAACATGTTTTTTCCTTCTAAAAGCTTTGTCAAACACCTTAATTTAAAAAAAAAAAAAAAACTTAGACGAAGAAGCTATTAAGCTGGAAAAAAAATGATATTATGTTACATTGTTGCTGAATGTATAAATTATATTATTATTTATATCCGTGCATATAATAGAAGCAGAAAGTGGTACTGTTGACAAAGTGGTGAGTGTTAGTCTCAATATCCAACAAAGGTAATACTATATAGATATTTAAGTGTTATAAAAAGGAGAGCCACTTGCCTCATTTTCAGCATTATTAGCAATAGAGACAACCCTCTTCTAAGTTCTGACAAAACCAGGAAGAGCTTAGGCTGCGGGAGAGATAGTTTTATGAACAAACAAATGGAGATGGAGAGAGGCAGAGAAAAAGGAGATAACAACATTTGTGAAGCTGAGACTAATAGTGTTGATTGGAGAGGAAGACCTTCAAACTCCATTAAACATGGAGGAATGAAAGCTGCTGCTTTTGTTCTTGGTATATTAACTCCCTTTTCCCTCATCCTTTAATTTCTTCAAGTTTGCTCTTGATTTTCTTTCATGTACTTTTAAATTTGTGTTCAAGTATTTATCTTTTTTCTTTTTAGAAAATGTCACTAGTCTATGCAGGTTTTATTTCTCCCTCTTGGATGTATATCATTTATAACACTAACACATGGTTGCAGTGGCTGCAGGCAGAAATTTCAATAAAGGGATTCAACAGTAAAAGTTTTCTCTATATAAACTGGATTCAACAAGTTATATATATAATTTTTTAACTTATATACCAAAAACCATTTTCCGACAATAGAGATTCAATTGAACTCCCTTCACCGTACCTACCTCCGCCACTGTGGTGCTACTATTAGTTTGTGTTATATATATTTCACAATATTTAGTTTGAACTTCCGATTGTATTTAACTTACGTACGCGAATATTTATTGTTGTAGCAACTAATATGCCTTATTTTCAAGGCTATCAATCTCACTTTTAGTTAAAGCTGTTACTTGTAAATATTTTTTAAGGTGATGTGGTAGTGTAAAAATCTTTTACAACGTAAACTGAATTGGTTCTGACATAGTATATATGTATGGAATGAAATACTATATATACAGGGTTGCAAGGATTTGAGATAATGGGAATAGCAGCAGTAGGGAACAACCTGATAACATATGTGATAAATGAGATGCACTTTTCATTGTCAGAATCAGCAAATATAGTGACCAACTTTATAGGGACCGTCTTTATCCTCTCCCTACTTGGAGGCTATCTCTCTGACTCTTATCTTGGCTCCTTTTGGACCCTCCTCATCTTCGCCTTTGTCGAACTTTCGGTACTTACTACTATCTTTTCCTTTCTCTCTTTTTGTCTTTTTCAATATTAGTACTAGTATTATTTTATCATGCACACTGTAACAGTGGAAAAACAACTGAAAAAGACGTATTAATTGAATGTGTTTTGTCTGTGTAAAACATGAATATTCTTTAATTTTACTTGGATGCGAAATTAGGTCCTTTCATACCACGTATGTTGTATGGACTTTTTAAAATGTTGCTGTCCTCATGTCGAATCTTCCAAAAATACATTATTTTTAAAAGAGCAGGCACACACCTAGCGACATTGAGCAATATAGGTTATCACCCAATGGTTTCAGCATCATGTTCTGAGAAACGAGTCTAAATAAGAATACTCTTTCCTCGTTTAATATTTGGTTAGGTTGAACATACTTGTAACCACTTCAGAATAATTTATAAAATGGGGAAAAAAATATTCTTCAAAGCAAGGGGGTAATTTTTTAGTTTTAAGTTATATACGCTGAGTTTACACTATCAGTACAATTAGACCGATTATAGCACGTTATTATTCAATTTTTCTAGGTTACTATGAAAATTTATTCACATGTATATATATTTTTTCTTTTATTATTTTGAGAGTGATTATACAGTGTTATTCAACAAGGGATGTGATGGAGTGTAAAATTAAAAAAGATTTTACAGTGTTATTCTATCTTCTTTAACTTAATACTATAAAAATTCTTTACAGGTCAGTGCATAAAACGTAGTATAATTTTTTTCTCACTTGTGTGTGTAGGGTTTCATATTACTGTCAGTACAAGCTCATCTTCCACAGCTAAAACCACCAAAATGCAACAACATGCTAAGTACTGATAATGGAGACCAATTATGCGAGGAAGCAAAGGGTCTCAAAGCCTTAATATTCTTCGTGGCATTGTATTTGGTGGCATTAGGGAGTGGTTGTGTGAAACCAAATATGATATCTCATGGTGCTGACCAATTTAATCATCAAAAGCAGTCAAAGCAATTATCGAGATATTTCAATGCTGCTTATTTTGCATTCTCAATGGGTGAACTCATTGCTCTTACACTTCTTGTTTGGGTACAAACACATTCTGGAATGGATGTTGGGTTTGGTGTCTCTGCCGCTGCTATGGCTTTGGGCTTAATTACTTTAGTTGCTGGCACTCTTTTTTACAGAAATAAACCTCCTCAAGGAAGCATTTTCACTCCAATTGCACAGGTAAAATTAAATCACTTCTCCTTTAAGATTTTTTTTACACGATCAGTATGGTTTAATACGAAGGGGAGCATGGGCGTAACTGGTAAAGTTACTGTCATGTGACCAGAAGGTCACAGGTTCGAGCCGTGAAAATAGCTTCTTGCAGGAATGTAGGATAAGACTGCATACAATAAACATTTGTGGTCCGATTTTTTTTCGTACCCCGCGTATAGCGCTGGAGCTTAATACACCGAGCTGTGCTTTAGTATGATTTAATATATTATACGTAACAGATTTGTTACCATTTAATTTTAATGCTTGGTATAGAGATTTACTCATAATTAATTTAAAAGTGATCTTATAGTATAAATAGTTTTTATATTATCATCCCCCATAAAAGTTAAACTGTTACATATAATTTAGGAACAAGTAACATGTTCTTAATTTTGTATATATTTTTATTTCATGTTTGACTTTTGTTCTCCTTTTAATATTACATGCATTATTACTAGGATGTCTAATAATGACGATCTAGAAATGGGTTGGCTGCCATTTTCTATTTTTTAATGCTAGTTCTAACCTTTTTTCCCTTTCTTTTTGTGAATCCTATAATATACTAATGCAATCTTGTTCTCTTTCGCCGACAACATTAAAGTAATCCCTCTCTATATATATTTCTCAATTATATAAATAACATAGATATGCAAGTGTCATCTTCTGAATCATGTTCTAGGAAAGAGCTATAATTCATCATTATTAAGGCCTCCATTTATTCATATGTCGGAGAATTTGGCATCTTCTACTAGTCCTCGCCACCCCCAACCACAGGCGGATATATCCTTTAAACTAGTATGTGTTTATGTGAACTCAGATCATGTATATGTATTAATAAATATATTAAATAGTTATAAACTTATCTAGTTATTATAGTATATAAACTTAAGATCGGTTATATGAATTCACAAACTTTAAATCGTTCGTGCCTGCCTAACCCCAACCCGACAAAGAAAGGGAAAAAAATCCCAATATAACAACAAAAATACATTTTTTTTTAAATTGAAGAAGTGATCTTAACTATTCTTATAATATATTTATGGTAACTGGCAGGTTTTGGTGGCTGCATTCTTAAACAGAAAGCATATTTCTCCATCAGATGCACGTATGCTTCATGGGACCCACACCATCAAGAATGTCAATCCCACATTGTCTCATGATAATATGGGTATTCTCCTTCACACCAGTCGATTCAGGTACGTACATTAAAAGGATTCTTATGTACCAAATAACTTGTAGACAGTAGTTAATTATTTTATTAGATGACGTGATAGTTCAACGAATTGTTTAGAGAAGTACATATGTTATTAATTGGGTAACGCCAACATCCTGTGGGGGACTTGGGTGGCCTAGGTCGAAGTCATGGTCGAACATGACACTTATTTGGTGGGCTTGATTAACAAATTAATAAAGTTACGTCCTTGCTACTATCAGATATAGCAATTCGCCACTTACCACATTCTTTGTTTGATGTTACTTTAATTTTAAGGCATAATTGTAATCATAGTTTAGTACTACTTTCGTATATTCTTCCAAACTAATTATGTAGAGAACTTTTTTTTTTGTCCTTCTATTTTCAGATTCTTGGACAAGGCTTGTATAAAAGTGCAAGATGGAAATAACACAAAAGAGATAAGTCGATGGAGACTTTGCACAATAACACAAGTAGAGCAAGTGAAGATCCTAATTTCAGTCATTCCCATATTTGCTTGCACTATAATTTTCAATACCATTTTAGCGCAACTTCAAACTTTTTCAGTCCAACAAGGAAGTGCCATGAACACTAAACTAACTAAAAATTTCCATATCCCTCCAGCTTCTCTTCAATCAATTCCTTACATATTGTTAATCTTCATAGTCCCTCTCTATGATACATTTTTCGTCCCATTCGCGAGAAAATTCACCGGTCATGATTCAGGTATTATTGAAATACGTGAGCATTTCATTTAAAATTTTAACCAGTCAAAAAGAGTACAATTTTAATTATTTTATTTATATTATATCATCAACAGGTATCACCCCTCTGCAACGTATAGGTCTTGGCCTATTTATCGCGACTTTCTCCATGGTATCAGCAGCCTTAATGGAAAACAAAAGGAGAATTTCTGCAGTGAACGAAAATAAAACCATATCAATATTTTGGATAACCCCACAATTTTTGATTTTTGGATTATCTGAAATGTTCACTGCAGTTGGACTTATTGAGTTCTTTTACAAACAATCTTTAAAAGGGATGCAATCCTTTTTAACAGCCATTACTTATTGCTCATATTCATTTGGCTTTTATTTAAGCTCAGTTCTTGTTTCTTTAGTAAATAAGATCACTTCAAATTCATCACATGGTGGCTGGCTTAGTGACAATAATCTTAACAAAGACAGACTGGATCTTTTCTATTGGTTGCTGGCAGTGCTGAGCTTTCTCAACTTCTTCAACTATCTGTTTTGGGCTACATGGTATTCGAAAAATCAAACTACATCAGCAACAATACAGCAAGATTTTAATTCCAAAGTTGTTGGAGATGATAGTATAGCATAATTAATTAATGGAATTACTATGTACTTTAGGGAAATAAATTTCTCTAAATTTTCCTAAGGTGCCTATGGGCTATGGCAATGATGATATATATAACTCTACTTAGGTGATTACAACATGTACATGTCTAAAAAAAATCCCATTAATCATGGACGTAATCCTGTTATTGGTTGGTTATATGAAACTCTTTTTTTCCAAGTTATATGTACTCTCAGTGCAAGATATGTTACATTAGCAGTGTAGGTTAACTTTTGCTAGCAAGTACTCCTTCCGGTCAACTTTAATATTTTTGGCTTTTTTCACACGTATCAAGGAATTCACATTTTAGCATTAATTAATTAAGAATGAAATCAACCATATTAATCTTAATTTGCTCATTGAAAATATAACAAACTACTTCTAGACTCTTTATTCCAAGGGCAATGTCACGACCCATTTTTTGAGCAAGTCGGGACTGGCACTCGATCACTAAACATGACCGAGCGAACCATCTCTGCTTATCAAATCTATTATAACTCCAAACTTTATATGCAACAAGGCAATACTCTAACCAAATACTTTTGATTACTTTAAATATTTAAATAAATCAACTCCAAAACTTTATTCGTAGTAACTACTGAATTACTGCTAAGTTATTATAAAAAAACATCTGAATCTTGACCCAATAACTATGTCTATGAAGCATCTACTGATAAACTGACGCACTGCTCAGGACTTGAGATTTTCTTGTCAGTTCTCTAAGTAAACAAAGAAATAGCTAAATAAAAATGACTATAAGGAATACTCCACGAACAAAAGCGGAGCTCACCAATAGCACTGGAATAGAGGAAGTCCTAACTCGTAGCCTGCTCGCCTGCAAATCCGGTTCCTACGTTGTACCGCAGACCAACGTAGGTTTCCAAAAGAGAACGTCAGTACCATCCATTGTACTCAGTGAGTCTCAACAACAGGGGGCAAAACTTTAATAACATATACATTACGAGCAAATGTTCTAAATGCATGTAAAATATAAAGCTTATAAGAATAATTCTAAAATAATTGCATAATAGCAGTTTATGAATATTTTAAAAGAAATTCTCTTCTTTTTCTTTCTTTAAAAAAAATACTTCACTTTATATTTTGGGAGTTCCAACTATCCTGACTTAATTCTGTCTCAGTCACCGTGTGATCGGCGCGGGTTCGATCCCAACCTGATCGAATAGGCCCAATCCACGAGGTGCCACTCGCTTCATGGTTCTCAGCGCTTATGTATCATACCTTAGCATGGCTAAGTAAATTCTCAGCAACGAGACCCTCGGCTCGTGTGCTCCCTACTTTGGCACAAGTAGTTTCAGGAAGTCAACGCCTTGGTCAGGACCCTCGGTCTGTACGATGACCCCATCTCAGAATAAAAGATACTCCCAAAAATCTTTTCTTTCTAAAATTTCTTCTTGTGACTTTTCAAGTCTAAATCTTTTATTTATAGAACATCATGTACATGCTCATGCTGGTGTCCTTAAATGTAAAGCATGGCATAAGAATGAAATAAACATGTAAAAGTATTTTTAAAGATTCTTTCTTATTCATAAATTTTCAACATGAAAATAACATATAAGAATAACCCAAAAATCTGAAAATTTAAGCACACATATCATAATAAGTCATCTAAAAATCTGCTCTTTAACTTCCTATGCAAAGCTTACCAAATAACAAACCATTCTGCCTGATTGAAATTTCAAACAGAAACACTTGGAAATCCCTCTATTCTCCATGTAAAATAAGAGTACACTAAATTTATACTTACAAGATTAGAAGATGCAGCAGGAATGGACTTGCTGCCATTAGGCGCGAGAACACTAAATTTTGCTAGAACAATTCTAAGTTAATAAGTACTCACTCGCTCCAATTAAATAAATATAAACTCTTTTAAGAAATTCATCAAACACCTTGTTTGCGTGCTTTTATGAGTTAAACCACTTTAGTAAAGGGTTATATAAACTCACCTCAAAACTTCTCGAGCCAATACGTAGGCCCCAGTCCAATTGACATCATTCAAACAATCGATTCTACAACAACCAGTGCATTTTAATCAATTTTAAAGTACTACACATAATTATGAAATTTATTGATGATATAGAGGAAGAAGGGAATTAGCTATTCAATTCTTACTTATTACTAATGTCGGGTAATTGACAATAGGAGATTTTACATACCTGAGTTCAAGAATAAGTGAGTTATGAAAAACCTTAGGATTTTTTTTTTGTTGCCTACGTGCTCTGTTTCGTGAGCGAACAGAACTTAGTATTCTGCTTTTCGTCTAAGGCAAAAGCCTTCGCCCTTTTTGAAGAATCAGAACGTGGGTTCTGTTCTCTTTAAGGCTTAAAGTCTTTAGTTTTCAATAGCCCTTTTATGGGCTTTTAGTCCCCTTTCCCTTTTTTTTAACTAATAATTAATGATACCCGTTTTTAATAATTAATAATAGTAAAATTATTAATATTTTTCTAATTGTATATCCAAATATACACACACACACACACACACACACATCACTATAGGCAAGATAAAAATAATAAAAATAGTAATAATTTAGTTCTACAGTTAGCGTGTCTCTAAACTTTTAGAAATTTGAGGAGTGTTACAATCTTCACTCCTTAAAAACATTCGTTCTTGAATGTTGCTAGGGCCTTATTCTTAAGCTAACAATCATCCCTTAGGTCCTTGAACCTCTTAAATATTTCTTAGCACTACTCACTCTTCCAAGGGACTCAGAATTTTGGCTAACTCCCTAAATTTTCAAAAATTTCGGCAGAGTTTCCCTTGTAAATTGGACTAGCCAAAAAAAATATCTCTGTCACAAATACCACGACTACGTCAACAACAACCAAATATACCATAACAGGCCATTCATAGGCACCATACGCAGCTCATAAATTAATTACTCATACTCCGTTAAGGAAGTACCACAATAACTAACAAGAATCTAAAGCACAACAACTTTAGCACAAGTAAATCACTTAATGAATTAAATATACTACGGCATAACTAAATTACTACAACAACTAAATATAATCTAGGAAGGACATAAATACTTGCTAACTTGTATTTAATAAATACAATATAAATGTCAATCCAAACCTAGGTTCACATACCTTTTTCCTCAAATAAATATGGATATTTCTTTTTCATATCTTCCTCGACCCCCACGTAGATTCTTTTGAATCGTGATTACTCCACAAAACTTTTACCGATGGTATATCTTTTGTTTTCAACTTTCTTACTTGTCTATCGAGAATTTCTATAGGTACCTCTTCATAAGTCAGGCCTTCCTTAATTTCTATGGTATCGACATGTATTATATGTGACTCATCATGGATATACTTTCTAAGCATAGACACATGAAAGACAGGATGAACAGAGGACAACTCAACGGGTAGCGCTAGCTTATAAGCCACGTTTCCTTTCTTTTTTAGAATTTCATAAGGTCCGATAAATCTAGGGCTAAGTTCCCTTTCTTACCAAACCTCATAACCCCGTTCATTGGTGAAACTTTCAAAAACACCTTATCACCAACCATGAACTCTAACTCATGATGCCTCTTATCAGAATAAGACTTTTGACGACTCTGAGCCGCTTTAAGTCTTTCTCTAATTAGCTAAACTTTCTCCAAGGCCTCACAAACAAACTCTGGACCAATCAACGGCACCTCTGTTGGTTCAAACCAGCCCACTGGAAACCTACATCTCCGCCCATACAACGCTTCATAAGGAGCCATACCAATGTTGGCATGATAGCTGTTATTGTAAGCAAATTATATAAGTGTCAAGTGATCATCCCAATTACCTCCAAAATCTATAACACACGCACGCAGCGTATCTTCGAGAGTTTGAATGGTTCTTTCTACCTGGCCATCGGTCTGTAGATGGAAAGCAGTGCTTAAATTGACCTTGGTACCTAATCTTTTCTGAAATGCCTGCCAAAAATGCGTTGTAAACTGAGCGCCTCTGTCGGATATGATTGAAACTGGAGTACCATGCAATCGGACTATTTCTTTGATGTACAACTGCGCATACTGCTCTGCGAAATCTGTCGTCTTTACTGGTAGGAAATGCGCGGACTTTGCCAGTCGGTCTACAATAACCCAAATTGAATCATGTTTACGGTACGTGCGAGGTAGACCTACTACGAAATCCATATTAATCATCTCCCACTTCCACTGTGGTATCTCTATATCTTGAGCTAGGCCACCCGGCCTCTGATGCTCGGCTTTGACTTGCTGGCAATTCAAACATTTAGCCACATGATCTTCTACTTGTTTCTTCATTCCTTTCCACCAATACAACTCTTTCAAGTCTAGATACATTTTGGTAGCACCTGGATGGATAGAGTATCTCGAACTGTGAGCTTCTTCCATTATGGCCTTCCTAAGACCATCTACATCGGGCACACATAACCGATCATTCAACTTCAAAACTCCGTCACTTCCTAGAGTGAAGGCAATGATTTCTTTATTTTTGACTCCTTCTTTTAACTTCAATAAGTACGGATCTTCGTCTTGCTTAGCCTTAACATGCGCAACAAGGGAGGATTGCGCTAAGGCATAAGCAGTTATATCTCCTTCTTCGGTCTCATCCAATCTAATTCCATCATTTGCTAGTTTTTGAATTTCTCGACCTAAAGATCGCCTTTGTACTGCAAGATGGGCCAAGACACCCATTGACTTCCTACTAAGTGCATCTGCTACCATATTAGCTTTGCCTGGGTGATAAAGGATATTGATGTCATAATATTTCAATAGCTACAGCCACCTTCTTTGTCTCAAATTTATTTCTTTTTGCTTGAAAATATACTGGAGACTTTTGTGATCTGTAAACACTTCAGAATGCTTGCCATAAAGGTAGTATCGCCATATTTTTAATGCAAACACCACTGCTGCAAGCTCCAAGTCGTGTGTGGGGTAGTTTTTTTCATGATTCTTTAACTGCCTAGAAGCATAAGCAATAACTTTTTCATTTTGCATAAGAACACAACCAATGCCCACTCTAGAGGCATCACAATACATTGTGAACCCACCCAAACCTGTCGGCAAGGTTAACACAGGTGCAGTGGTCAACCTCTTCTTTAACTCTTGAAAACTCTGCTCACAAGCGTCTGACCATTGGAACTTAACTGCTTACTGAGTCAACTTAGTCAATGGAGCTACAAGTGATGAAAACCCCTCTACAAACCTTCTATAGTAGCCAGCTAGCCCCAAGAAGCTCCTGATTTCGGTTGGCGTTGTCGGCCTAGGCCAGTTCTTGACTGCTTCTGTCTTCTGAGGGTCTACTTTTATTCCTTCGCTAGATACCATATGGCCTAAGAATGCCACTGACTGCAACCAGAACTAACATTTTGAAAACTTGGCATAAAGCTCATTCTCCTTCAAGGTCTGCAAGGCTATTCTAAGGTGTTCTGTATGTTCTTCTTTGCTCTTAGAGTATACCAAAATATCGTCTATAAACACCATAATAAAGGTATTCAGGAATGGCTTGAAAACTCTATTCATGAGGTCCATGAATGCAGCTGGAGCATTTGTCAACCCGAAGGACATCACTAGAAATTCATAGTGCCCGTAGCGAGTCCTAAAGGTTGCTTTAGATATATCCTCTTTTCTGATTCTCAACTGATGGTACCCCAATCTCAAGTCTATTTTTGAAAAGTACTTTGCACCCTAGAGTTGATCAAATAAATCATCAATTCTTGGCAGTGGGTACTTGTTCTTAATGGTAATTTTATTCAACTGCCGATAGTCGACACATATTCTGAGAGACCCATCTTTCTTCTTGACAAACAGGACTGGGGCACCCCACGGTGAAACACTCGGTCTGATGAAACCCTTGTCAAGAAGGTCTTTCAACTGTTCTCTCAACTCATTAAATTCTACTGGAGCGATCCTATAAGGAGGTATAGATATGGGTTGAGTGCCTGGCATGAGATCAATGCCGAAGTCTATGATTCTTTCGGGAGGAAGTCCGGGAAGGTCATCTGGGAAAACTTCTAGAAATTCTCTAACAACTGGCACTGACTGAAGAGTTGGTAGTTCTGATTCTGGATTAATAATGTGAGCCAAATAGGCAAGACACCCTTTATCGATCATTCGTTGTGCCTTAAGGTAAGAAATAAACTTACCTACAAGAGATGCTAAGCTACCCTTCCACTCTAAGACTTCTTCATTTGGAAATTGGAACCTGACTATCTTGGCATGACAATCTAACATGGCATAGCAGGAAGACAACCAATCCATACCCATGATCACATCAAAATCCACCATTTCTAACTCTATGAGATCGGCTTTGGTGTTGCGACCTTGGACCGAAACTATACAACCTCTATAGACTCTGGTGACTTTCACTGACTCGCCAACTGGAATAGATACTAGGAACGGCTCACTAAGTTGTTCAGGTTCTAGTCCGAGGTTAATTGCAAAGTATGGAGTCACATATGAAAACGTTGAACCTAGATCCATTATGGCATAAGCATTATGTAAGCAGACTAAAAGTATACATGTAATAACTTCTGCAGATGCTTCTACACTCTGACGCAAGTGTAGCAAACAAACGGAGTTGTCCCCCTCCCTGAGTAACTCGGTCTGCACCTCTACCTGCTTCATGCCCGGTCTGATTATGAGAACCACGAGCCTGGGGGGTACAACTGTAGTAGCTGAGGAACTAGAAGGAAGAGTTGATCCACCACTGAAATTACGTCGCAACTTTGGGCAGTTGGCCTTTATATGACCAATGTCTCCACAATGGTATCAACCATGAAACCCGAGCTTGCACTGACCTGAATGTTGCCGCTTACATGTTCCATAAAGACTTTGCTGGTGTGAATGTTGCTCAGCATGACTCTGGCTATGTGAGGATGATGTCCTAAAATTCTGATTCTGGCGATACTGATTTCCATAACTCTGAGTACGTCTGAAGGAAGGCCCACCACCTTACTGATGACTAGACTGAGTTGGTGCTAATGACTCCTTATTAGAGGAATCCCTTCCACCTCCGTTGGATGTACCATTAAACTTGGCCGTTGTCAGCGCTTTCTTGTTATGATCTTTTTCTTCTCTCCTTAGTTGTCTGTCTTTCTCTAAGTGCTTGGCAAATCCGACAACAGAGGAGAAGGCTTCCATCCCTACTGTTGCAGCTGATGTCGTATCCTTAATGTGGTAAGCTAAACCGCCAACAAACCTGCGAATCTTTGTTTTTTCAGTCTTCACCATGTGAGGAGCATGCTTAGCTAACCTTTTGAATTCCATGTAGTACTCTTGCACACTTTTATTCCCTTGCTTGAGATGTTCGAACTCTGTAGCCTTAGCTTCTCTATCCTCTTCTGGGATAAAGTTAGCCATGAAGGCTTCTTCAAATTCTTCCCAGGTAGGCGGACCATCATCTTCATCTCTTTCCTTTTCCCATATCTCAAACCAAGCGCCGACCACATCTCTAAGCTGGTAAGCAGCTAGCTCCACAGCTTCATCATCAAATGCTTTCATCACTCGGAGGGCTTTCTTAACACCGTTCATCTATAACATTGGACCTTCATCAACTATAGAACCATGGAATACTGGAGGACTCAACTTCAAAAATTCATTCACTCTTGATGACTCAGAATTGTTCTGTCTATTTGATTGAGGTGGAATCTCATCTCTTCTCTCGTTCTGGTTGGTCATAAAGGTTTTAAACATCTCCATAGCATTGTTGACTGCATTAAACATCTGACCCACCTCTGGGGATATAGTTGTTTGAGTCGGAGCTGTTTTTGGGGTGGCGTTGGATCCTGAGGTACTTGCTCATCATGCTCCACCCCTTCTACATGTTCAATCTGGGGTACTAGAACACCCTTTGTGGATTTACCTCTCCTTTTCTTAGTTGAAGCCTTTTTAGTTCTGCCTTGAGCCATAATAGTAGCAATAGTTTCTTGAGCAGCATCCTGAGTGTCGGTGTCAGAGTTGCGAGTACGAGCCATTTCTGCGAGTTGTGAAGAACGAATACATTAGATAATTTCATATAGGTAGGATCTACTACACGATCTAAAGTATGACAAATATTTTTCCTAAATGCTTGTAGCCTCCTGTTTATAAGTATGGCGCGCTTCATGCCCATAAACAAGACTCTACTAACACGGCTTCATAGACCCCTAGGACTCCATAAACTTGAGGCTTTGATACCAAGTTTGTCACGACCCATTTTCTGAGCAAGCCGGGACCGGTACTCGATCACTAAACATGACCGAGCGAACCATCTCTGCTTATCAAATCTATTATAACTCCAAACTTTATATGCAACAAGGCAATACTCTAACCAAATACTTTTGATTACTTTAAATATTTAAATAAATCAACTCCAAAACTTTATTCGTAGTAACTACTGAATTACTGCTAAGTTATTATAAAAAAAACATCTGAATCTTGACCCAACAACTATGTCTATGAAGCCTCTACTGATAAACTGACGCATTGTTCAGGACTTGAGATTTCCTGGCTAGTTCTCTAAGTAAACAAAGAAATAGCTAAATAAAAATGACTATAAGGAATACTCCACGAACAAAAGCGGAGTTCACCAATAGCACTGGAAGAAAGGAAGTCCTAACTCGTAGCATGCTCGCCTGCAAATCCGGTTCTTACGTTATACCGCAGACCAACGTAGGTTCCCAAAAGAGAACGTCAGTACCATCCATTGTACTCAGTGAGTCTCAACAACAAGGGGCAAAACTTTAATAACATATATATTACGAGCAAAGGTTCTAAATGCATGTAAAATATAAAGCTTATAAGAATAATTCTAAAATAATTGCATAATAACAGTTTATGAATATTCTAAAAGAAATTCTCTTCTTTTTCTTTCTTTAAAAAAAATACTTCACTTTATACTTTGGTAGTTCCAATTATCCTGACTTAATTCTGTCTCAGTCACCGTGTGATCGGCACGGGTTCGATCCCAACCTGATCGAATAGGCTCAATCCACGAGGTGCCACTCGATTCATCGTTCTCAGCGCTCATGTATCATACCTTAGCATGGCTAATTAAATTCTCAGCAATGAGACCCTCGGCTCGTGTGCTCCCTACTTCGGCACAAGTAGTTTCAGGAAGTCAACGCCTTGGTCAGGACTCTCGGCCTGTACGATGACCCCATCTCAGAATAAAAGATACTCTCAAAAATCTTTTCTTTCTAAAACTTCTTCTTGTGATTTTTCAAGTCTAAATTTTTTATTTATAGAACATCATGTACATGCTCATTCTGGTGTCCTTAAATGTAAAGCATGGCATAAGAATGAAATAAACATGTAAAAGTATTTCTAAAGATTCTTTCTTATTCATAAATTTTCAACATGAAAATAACATATAAGAATAACCCAAAAATCTGAAAATTTAAGCACACATATCATAATAAGTCATCTAAAAATCTAATCTTTGACTTTCTATGCAAAGCTTACCAAATAACAAACCATTCTGCCTGATTGAAATTTCAAACAGAAACACTTGGAAATCCCTCTATTCTCCATGTAAAATAAGAGTACACTAAATTTATACTTACAAGATTAGAAGATGCAGCAGGAATGGACTTGCTGCCATTAGGCGCGAGAACACTAAATTTTGCTAGAACAATTCTAAGTTAATAAGTACTCACTCGCTCCAATTAAATAAATATAAACTCTTTTAAGAAATTCATCAAACACCTTGTTTGCGTGCTTTTATGAGTTAAACCACTTTAGTAAAGGGTTATATAAACTCACCTCAAAACTTCTCGAGCCAATACGTAGGCCCCAGTCCAATTGACATCATTCAAACAATCGATTCTACAACAACCAGTGCATTTCAATCAATTTTAAAGTACTACACATAATTATGAAATTTATTGATGATATAGAGGAAGAAAGAAATTAGCTATTAAATTCTTACCTATTACTACTATAGGGTAATTGACAATAGGGGATTTTACATACCTGAGTTCAAGAATAAATGAGTTATGAAAAACCCTAGGATTTTTTTCTGTTGCCTACGTGCTCTGTTTCGTGAGCGAACAGAACTTAGTCTTCTGCTTTTCATCTAAGGCAAAAGCCTTCGCCCTTTTTGAAGAATCAGAACGTGGGTTTTGTTCTCTTTAAGGCTTAAAGCCTTTAGTTTCCAATAGCCCTTTTATGGGCTTTTAGTCCCCTTTCCCTTTTTTTTAACTAATAATTAATGATACCCACTTTTAATAATTAATAATAATAAAATTATTAATATTTTTCTAATTGTATATCCAAATATATATATATATATATATATATATATATACACACACACATACACACACATCACTATAGGCAAGATAAAAATAGTAATAATTTAGTTCTATAGTTAGCGTGTCTCTAAACTTTTATAAATTTGAGGAGTGTTACAGGCAACTTTGGAAAGAAGTTAATTGCTTTTTGATATCTAAAAAAATCAAATATTATGGACCACAAAAAATGCCAAAAAATCATTTACAGCTTGTTTGGATGGTTGTTACCTGTTGTATTATATCGTCTTGTTACTTAAATTTTATTATATCACATCGAAATTCGTCGTTATGCAACTACGAAAAGTGTCACTTTATGGAACGACTGATTTGGTGTGGTCACGTTGTTCCCTTATTTTTTTTTCTCTCATCTTGCTTCTATATTATTAAATAATCTTATTTTATCCTTTACCCTACCTTTTTATATAATAATTCTACCTCATACCTTATTTTTTCTTTATAATATTGCAAATTTACTCTTCATATTGTTGGTGCATGACACCCTAAAACGACATAAAACAATACAATCTATCCAAATATTGTATACATTAAAACAGTACAATATATTATGAAACGATACATATCAACCATCCAAACAAGCTGTTAAAGTCGACCGGAGGGAGTCATACTTATCATAGAAATTTATATATAACTATATGAATATTTTTAACACCCTCCATGCGCATAAAACTTACACTGAAATAAAAACAATTTTATTTGATTGTATAAAACAGTTTTGAAGTTGCATATATTTTGATGAAAAAAGGAGGTCCCCTTTTCAAAGGTTCTTCTAGTCTTCGGTCTCCGGCCACGAGCCTCTGGCTTTGAAGAATTAGGTAGCTTTCCATTTACAAGATTCAATGTATTTAATTTTTCTAGTACATCAATATCACTTCCTCGATCATGCAGAAAATTGTGGACCTATTCACTCGCTTTTGAATGACAAAAAAATAACAGAAAGCAAGTACAATAAACTTACTCACGATCGTTCACTCTAATTCAATAAATATATGACACCCATTTTTTTTTTTTTTTAGACAATCATCAGTTATCCTCTCAATTAACTAAAACACATTCTATCATTTTTTTTTCCACTAATGATAATAAATTAATATACTTTTTCCAGTAAATCTAAAAACTGCTATGTGGTGCATATTCGTGGAACATAATGAAAGTAATATGCATAAAGTCAAAAAGAGTAAGTGAAAAGGGCAAGGTGGGGCTTTTTTTGGTGGTGAAAGGAAAAGGACAAACATAGATTACTCCAATGGAAAATCTAGTAAGCTTTTGAAGATGATGTCTTCATTATACTGTTGTTTCCTCTCTTCTCCAAAGAAACATGTCTGAGACATGTTTTTTATGTTGGAGATAGGATAGGCCCTCCCTCTTATAAACCATTGCTTCATTGCTCATTAATATGTTAACTAAAAGGGTTACAATGGCCCCTCCATACATTATTCTTTTTTATGAAAAAATATTTGGTTCCATTCTTTTGGTCATCATATGTATCATAGCTTATTGTAATACAACTGGTATTGATATGACTTAATTCTTTCAAATATTACTATCATTCTCTGCTTGCCCATTTAAGTGTGTTCTATGATCATGTATTTGTATATTGCATTAAATGTCACCATCAAATTAAGGGCATTTTCAGCTTGTGAAATAAAGGAACTTGTCGAGTGGAAGCTGAAACAACCTATCCAACGGCAAATAGAAGGCTAATCTGCACAATTTACTTCAATCTAGGAGGAAATCGAGCTTTTATTGTTGAAGATGCCGTCGTGACAATTATCTGAATGAGTTCAAGTTCTATACATAGGAAGTGCAAATTTGTTTTACGCTATCTTAACTTTTTTTACACAACCTGGTGATAAAAGAAGAAAACTACAGTTGATGGTCCTTAAAAAAAGGGCTTAATAACCTACAAAATTAAGGCCGGATATCATCTACAACTAATTAAATTATACAGATAATGCAAAAAATATTTATACCATCATTATATATAAATTAAATTGTTTTGCAGTCAATATTACTACAAGTGATCATTTATGTTCAGTTGTATATATTAATGACCAAAATGCAATACTTATATTTGCTTTTTCTCTTACGATGTTTCATTCTCATTCTATTCCTCTTGTACAAATGAACTCAATTGAAGGCCTTCATTAGGCAACAACCCTCTACTCATCTATTGACCACAGTTCCTTAATGGTTGAAGTAGATAAAAGCTTACAAGCTGCGATCTACAACAATAACAACAACAAAAAAACCCAATATCATCCACAGGTGAGGTCTGGGAAGGGTAGTGTATACGCAGACCTTACCCCTAAACCCCTACAAGCTGCCATCTGACTGTCTAAAATAGCTCAAGAAGAATCGAGGCCCAGGTAGATAAGAATATATCCAAAGGGGTATCAGAGTTAAGATTCGTCAGAGGTTGATTTTTATCCATAAAATCATGCTCTTCCAACTTAGGATTTATAAATTTCTAACAATCGCATATGAAGAGAACAACACCTATAGTCCTACTATGCAGCATCACGTTAACGAAATTGGGGAGGAACATCTGTTTACATATAGGTATGACACCTTCTAAACTTAGGCAGCAGATGGACAATGGTCTTGCAAAACTATGGGGACCAGCATCTATTCATCAGAAGCCTCAGCATTTGCGCCTTTTAGATGCAAATGTTTTTCCCTTCTCTGAAAATCTGTCAAACCTTTGCCACTTCCGGTTACACCAACCTTACCATGAGGATCTTCTGGAGACTTGAAGATACTCTCACGCTTTCGACCAGAGAAAAATCCCACCTGAAATACAATTAATNTAATTAATACATTAGCAACGCATAAGATATCAGCAGCTTAAAAGGCTTTAGAAATAATAAAATGATATAAGTGGTAGTGCCACACGGATCTGGCTACTACTTTTAAGACCAAACACAACTATGGATAACGAAGACAACTACAGGATAAAGATATCCAATAGCAATGTGAAGTACTTTACAAATAAATGCAGATTTTTACAGACACAAGTAAAATCATAGAGTTGCTTATGAACATGAAAAGCATGTGATTCTAGTGAGAAATATAATTTTTTTGATAAGATAGAAGTGAGAAATACAATAGAAAGAGAAATCATCATATTACACAGTACGCACAATCTCTTAAAATTGTGATTCATATATGAGGTTATCAACCTGAGAATAAGTGACCAGCATACCTTCTTAGTCTGACCTTTAGTTGATTGAAATTGTTGCCAAGCGTTTTGCCTCTTGTTTTGAGCAACCTCAAGTTGTTCAATCCGCATCTTAGACTTGAAAGCATGAATCTTTTTACGTTTGGCAGCTTTCTATGAAGAATAAAGATGAGGTCATTAGTCGGGATGAAAATAAAAAAAATAAAAAAAAAGACAATTTTTGCAAATAAAGAAACAACAGAAGGCAAGAGGTGAAAGCAAGTAAAGGTGGATTAGTCACCATGTACAAAAGCCAATTAGTCCCTGCTTTTATGAAGCCTTTTAACTTTTACATTCAGTATGTTGGACTACTTGAAACTGCTTTGAGATTATAGTACCTAGCCCAGCCTGCAGATGGTGCAGAGCTAACCTCAAGAAAATTAGGCCTACTTTAAGCAAAATAGATCCCAACAAATAGACTGTCCTATCTATCAACCCAAGATTCAGACCTTCACCCCCAATCATATTTCTGAAGTAAATAATTGGGCAAAAGACAACAGACAACCCTAAATTTGACATTCAACATACCACATCTTCTGGATCATTAGGATCAATGAGAAGCTTTGCTGGCAAACTCCGCGATTGGACATCACTAGCTGCAGCTTGAGCTATCTTTCGTTTGAGAGCTTGTTTTGTGGCCTCAGCTATCTTTTCTGCTTCAACCAAAGGGTTGACAGGTCCCTCTTGAAGTGGTCTTATATTAGCATGATCCACCTGAAATTACAAGTTGATGTTACACTAATCTAAAATAACTCCAACACTTGATGAATATTTTTTTTATTTTTTTTGAAACTGGTAACAACACTTGATGAATAATAATAAAGTAGAACCAAAAAGTAACAGAAAAAGAAAACAGGAAGTACACAAACATCTTTAGATGGAGCGTGCGCGCGCACACACACACCATGTCTGTGTATTTATGTGTGTGTGACAGTACGATATTAGCATTAACACACATCTCACTGTACTTCCATTTCAACATCTATATATACATGTATGCATACACTGAAACAATTATTCTCCAAATCTTATAACAAACTAATACTACACTAATACTTGACACATTGTCCCCTTTTGCACAAGTATATCAGAGGAAAAACAAGAGCAACAATTTAAAATATGATATAATCCAGAGCGGCCTAGAAGGCTAGAACAGAACTATTAAGAATTACCAAAAAGGGAAGCAATCCTTTCTTAATTTCAATACGAGAACTAAACCAAAACAGTCACGGTGGGAGTAGAACCTGGAAGTCGGCAACCACAACAACTGCACACGCTTAAAGAAGAAAAATTGACACAACTCAATCCTTACTTGTGATTACATAATTAAATTAACAGTACCCCATAACCTATGCTCAATTTTCAAGACAACGAGAGATTTTAACCCTTGGTTGATCACCAAATAACTGCCTTTTTATAACAACAATAACAATAATTATTATTATTATTATTGTTGTTGTTGTAATTATTACAACAACTGGACATATTGTTTGGCTACAATGGACAACTTCCCCTTGCAAACACAGTTTCTTTATCGATTAACAACTAAATAAGCAGAATAAGCATATCACCAGACTGATTCTTGTGATGTTTGCATACTTCCGTCAACATATTTATGTTGGTCGGACTT